TATATAAATAAAAGTGAAATAAACAAAATAAAATGAATAAATGAATAAAAGTATTTAAAATGCAATAATCCAAATCAATTATTAAGTAAACATATTAAGTAAATTACAGGCAAATTAGCAAACTACGAATGCACACATAAACATAAGCAATCGTGATAATAACAATAAAAAAATAACAGTAATCAACTGTAAATAATGAGTAAAAGAAAAATTAATAAGCAACAATACAAAATAGTTGCATCCCGTATTCGGATCCATCATTATTACTACTCAATATTACCTTGAACAATTTGAAACATACCAGTTATCACCCACCCAATAACTATTAGAATAATAAAATAGGCATACACATAATGCACCGCTGGCAAGCATATATAAATAGTCGAGTCAAAACACCACACGCATGGCCTGAAGATCGCGTTTAAGCATAAAACAGAGTCTCATCGCTCGGTGTTCATCTTAATGCCCATTAATATATATATATATATATATATATATATATATATATATATATATATATATATATATATATATATATATATATATATTTATATATATATATATATGCATTTAGAGCAATCATATATAGTAATTCGTCGGGCCTAAAATAATCCTCAACAGAATTTAGAATCGGGTTCGATTCTCGGTAGCGGATGCTCACTTTTGATGACTCCTAAATAGGATGAAACGGCTGTCCAGCTGTGCATTCTGCATTCTGTTCAGGAATATTCTAGGCTCGTTGAATTATATATATATATATATATATATATATATATATATATATATATATATATATCGAAAGAGGGAAAGAGAATGCGAGTCGGAGAGAGAGGAAGAGAGAAAGAGATATAGACAGTAGGAAAGCGACATATAGATGCTGTTGTGGATTCCGGGATGAAATCCGGTCTCAAAATGAATGACAAACGCAGGAATGAAATATAGCAAATAAATGTATTGACGTAATGATACAATTGGTAATACGGTTAGTAGATCCAGAAACGCGGTTAGTATCAATAATAATAATATATATATATATATATATATATATATATATATATATATATATATATATATATATAGAGAGAGAGAGAGAGAGAGAGAGAGAGACCTAGTGAGCTAGACAAACCTACCTAGGTTTCACCTAAACGGATCGTCAGGAGTTCATGTTTGTAGCTCTTTCTTTTTTTTAAAACCTTTTTTTTTATCTCGAGATTAATTTGATTATTAGAAAATTAAAAATTCGAGGGGTTTTTAGTTATATATATATATATATATATATATATATATATATATATATATATATATATATATATATATATATATATATATATATAGTCTGGGAAATTCAGAATCGAAGTATGACTTCCTTCTGAGTCTACGTGCTTGTAACTGTGGCTCCTACAAAGCGGTTACCTCACACTTTCACTCTCTCACCCTCTCTATTACTCTACCTCCCGGGTATTCACCGGCAGCAGTACAAGTACACACTGGGCGAGTCCACTTGTATGAAAAAAGGGTGGACCCCATAACACTATCAGAAGCACCTGGAATTAAAAAAAATCTACCCCCTGGACTAAATAAAGGGTTCACTTTATATATCATCTGAAGAGGGCGTACAAAGGTCGAAACGTTGTGAATATGGCAATAAAGAGGAGGATTACAGTCTGAACGATGTCAATAGTTACAGTATTTCATCTCAGAAATATAGATTTATTTATTTTCGTCACCAGCCTGAATAATCGTGATATCTTTTTAAAGAAAAAATATGCGCACTCCGGTAAGATTCGAACCTGCATCCCCTGGACAGAGGGATGCGGGGAGCGAATATTTTTCCTTTAATAAGATTTCTCAAATATTTGAGAGAAATATTCGTCGTGGATTCAGGGATGAAACCCGGTCTCAAAATGAATGACAAACGCAGGAATGAAATATAGTAAATAAATGTATTGACGTAATAATACAATTGGTAATACGGTTAGTAGATCCAGAAATGCGTTTAGTAGCAATAATAATAATATATATACAGTCTGGGATATTCAGTATCGAAATAGGACTTCCTTCTGAGTCTACGTGCTCGCAACTGTGACTCCTACAAGCGGTTATCTCACACTGTCACTCTCTCACTGTATTACTGTATCACTATTACTCTCTGGGTATTCACCGGCAGCAGTACATGTACACACTGGGCGAGTCCTCTTGTATACAAAGGTGTGGACACCTTATCAGATGCAAACAGACTTAGATAGATAGATAGATAGATAGATAGATAGATAGATAGATAGATAGATAGATAGATACTCTACACTTTGAGTGGGATAGGCGATGTTACATAAAATGTTTGTGCTTTGAAACAACGCGATCTAAATGAATATAGTACAAGCATTGACCCCATACCTTTTCAAGAGCAGTTGCCGTTATAAGCCAGTATAATAACAGCAAAAACCTTTTCTTGCATCATTTTTTGTGGGTTGGGAGAAGTCATTTTCGGAGTCTTGGGCATTTTTCATACTCAATATCTAAAAACTAAGACACTATATATATATATATATATATATATATATATATATATATATATATATATATATATATATATAAATCGACACATGCCCTCAATTAAAATAATGGTTGGTCTGCCGGGAAACAAAGCAGTATTGGGCGTTTGTCAGTTTATCAGCCTTCTATAAAGTGTGAACCTATACGCCTGCATCTATGTCAAATTAAATTAAATATTTCGCAATAAATTTTCCTAATTGAAAACTTACGCTTCATTGCCTTCTGCCAAATCCAAGCTCAGATGGTATCATCAAAGTTAGATAACTTTATTACGCGTATAAAAGACGGCAAACCACTTTAGAATAAACGCTTGTCTGCATTGGAGAAGCAATCTGAAATCGCTACTTTAAAATGGACGGGGAAGCTTTTACTAAAACAGTATTAATGAAGTCATGGGATGACAATCATTTAAACTTCTGCCCGAGAGATTTTTTTTTTTTTTTTTACATTTTCCAAAAGACAAAACGCGAGAAATTTAATTAGAACATGAAATATCAGATTTAAAACTCAGAGAATTTTCCAAAAGCTGAAATTTGGTCTATCCATTGGGCCATACTGGCGAAACTTCGAGGAAGAAAAAGATCTCTATCGACAGTTAGGACATCAGGCAAGGATGAAAATAATACAACACCGACAAAAATCAGTGACACACATTGCCATATAACGTAGATCTGTGCTATATAAAACATTGGTGTAAAAGGTAAATTCCCAAATCAGGTTAAATATTAACTCGCGCAAGTCTGATGGGTCTCCCATGATTCCTACCAATTGATGCGTTGTCAAACAGCCAAATAAGATAAGCTACACACACACACACACACACACACACATATATATATATATATATATATATATATATATATATATATATATATATATATATATATATATATATATATATATATATATATATATATATATATATATATATATATATATATATATATAGAGAGAGAGAGAGAGAGAGAAGGAAAGAAAGACAGAGAGAGAGAAAGATAGATAGAGTGAGAGAGAAAGAGTTGTATGGATATGAGTTTGTAATCCTAGATTTCACGCTTTTGAGAACATCACACAAACTGTTTATTGATTTTTTTAAAAAATTGAAGCTATTTATGTCAGTTTTTGTTTGATTATGTTTGTGAGGGTGGATCCTTCTCTCTTTTTCTCTCTCTCTCCCTATCTATTTCTCTTTCTTTCTCTCTCTCTCTCTATATATATATATATATATATATATATATATAATCTCACAGATTTTCTTCTCCCAAGCATCATCCTTGAAAATGGCGAGAGAAGTAGGCGAAAACTCTTGGAAAATTTATCATTAAGGACATTTCCTATATTACTTAACCATGAAAAAAAGAAAAAAACTGTCATTTGGATATTTTTTATGCTTTCTTAATCTATACTTTCGGCTCACATAAGCCATCTTCAGAGTGGTTATATGAACACTTAAATAAAGATATTCACCATCAAATATCGGAATGAAAGCAACTATACAAAGTTTTGATTGTCTCATCATCAAACATAATAGGCATTCGCTGTCTGTTTTATTTAATAATATATTTGAATACTAATCATTAAATGTGATGTCTAACGCTTAGCGAATTCTCAAAGTGTGTGTTTGTTTATTATTAACTCTTCGGTATACTGTATTCCCTTCATATATACAAAGACAAATACGTCAAGCGAGTTGTTATTTGGAAATAATTTAATTCCTTTTGTTTATTACTTTATTGATGATCTTAATTTCCATAATTTGCCTCTTCTCCGGGCATTTATTCCAGTTTCAGTCTGTGTCTGTTAACTGCTTTTATTTTGTTTTCTTTTCCAGTTTTAATTCCCGTATGTGTTTTTTAAGACATGTGTCATATTTTCGGACGTTTCAGAGCAAATGTTTCACAAATCGTTAAATAACTTCTTTCCCTGTTGATCCAATGTGATTTTCCCATTTTATACATACAAATATTATACATACAAACATACAAATTATATATATATATATATATATATATATGTGTGTGTGTAAAGAGAAGACTTGTATATTAAACATATCTCTTCGACTATCAACCGCATTTTAATTTACAGTGGGAATAGAGTCTTAAAATTATTTTTTATAAATAGGAAAGACTCGGAAAACTCACTCGGATTCCAGCCGCGCTCAACACGCGAATTCCCGAAATAAACGCTCCGATTCAAAACGTCGATTTTACTGCTTTTAAACTACAATATGATCGATCCTCGGTGGCCCAATCAGTTAAGGCACGTCAGGCTATATGACGGTTCCGTATAGGATACAGGTTCGATTCCTGTCGAAAGGAGAACATTTTCTATGAAAATTTCTTGGACATTCAAGCCGTTAAATGTTATTAATACTGTTTATTATAAAACAGAGCAGTAACTTAAATATTTGTATCTATAAAAAGAATGTATAAACATAAAAATATCTTAAAATAATTGCCGGATTTTTTCCCTTTCATAACATATATATAAATTTAATTAATTCATCGAGTCAAGATGAAACCTCAACAGAATGCAGAAAGCACTGGACGACCGTTTCGTCTTATATTTGGGTCTCATCAGCAGTGCGCATCCACTACAGTTGGTATGATGTTCGCTTGACAACCCAACTGTCAGGGTTTCAATTCTCAGTAGTGGATGCGCACTGCTGATGAGTCCCAAATATAGGACGAAACGGCTGTCCAGTGCTTTCTGCATTCTGTTGAGGTTTCTTTCAGACTCGATGAATTAATTAGATATAATTATCAAATCCTCCTACTAATTACTATATATATATATATATATATATATATATATATATATTACTTTCCATCAGTTTATCTGAAGATTAAACACTGTTATTTCGTCAAGCATTGTACTTTTGCGAGCAGCCTTTGGAGTGTCTTTACAAACCAATACATGCATGACAATTTCTTCCGCAAATGTGACAGCTGAAGCTGAAATGTGGAATGGAGATCTGACATTGATTTCTCAGCTTCCTTCATTCTCCTCTTGGAGTTGGTTTCGTCTTCTCCCCGCCTTGTTGACTCCTCCTTGAACAGCATGGCGCCAGCCACTGCAATCGTATGCTACCTGTTCCCAGCTACCAGAGTCAATGCATGTTCATTTCACGTACCTGTCGCAAACGTTCTTGAAATGTAGAGCAGGGTGGCCTACCTGACAGTGTCCGGTGGCTAGCTCACCATACAAGATTTCTTTTAGTATACTACCGTTATTTACGTAGCCCAGCCATCGAATCGACGACGACGTATATATATATATATATATATACGTTATTTTTCTAGATACAAATATTTAAGTAAATGTTCTGTTTATAATAATCAGTATCAACAAGATACTCAAATCTGTAGCTAAATTGTTTGGTTTGGTTTTGTGACGGTTACACACCTGGCCCAGGGTCGGATCCTTTGGTTACGGCGCCAACGGTGACGTCGCTCCTCCTGGTCGCTCCTCCTGGGTCCAAGCGTGCCGCTCCAACCCCTTGGTCAGATGATCACCAGCCTCGCCTTTCCCGACTCGCTTCCAATACCTGGTCACTAAAGCAACTGTACCGATCTCCGGTCTGTCTACCCACGCTGTGTTTAGATCTTAGACAGACGGGACCAGCAGGGGATTGGGGCCGATACAAGTTGAGTCCGACGGGGTGGCAAAACACAAATAAAAAAGAAAATAAACTCACGAGACAAAAAAGATTGCTGATGAAAAAAATGGGTAACAACCTTTTATATCTTAATGTCCGTTACATAAAAACAAAATTGTTCTCATTTCCCAACCCGCTCTGTGGACTATGGCACAAGCTTCTATCACACAACCTAAAGATTTCGAATTGCCTACTTTTAGAATTGTGTATGTCGGAGTGTGGTTTGGTTCGACACTGGGGCTAATTTCTATCGATCATTCGCAGTTGATTCTTCTCTTCGACTTGAGTTGTATTTCTTCTTCTTCGTCGACTTAGGCTGGAAGTTCTCTTGTCTTCGACTTGGTCTGGAAGGATCTCTTGCCGCAACTCAGCCGCAACTCTCTGTCGTCCGAGGTGATCTCTTCTCGCTGCCGTCCGGGGCTGAACTCTTGGCATCCTTCGAGCAATCTTCTTCTTCTTCGTCGCCTTAGGCTGGAACTTCTGTCTTCGACTTGGGCTGGAAGGATTTCTTGTCTGAGGATTCTTTTGCCCGCAAAGGGGCGAGTGAATCGGGCCTGATGGCCGCGTTCAGGCTCTATCCCTGCCCGCGGTCCAGCTGCAACTCTCAACTCCAACTCAACTGATTTCTGTCGACTGGGGTCCTGCTTTTATTGACGCCGCAACAAACTGGGGTGGGTCTGTCGGCGTCAGGGGTTTTCTCGATAATTCCAAAAGTCGCATTATTTTTGATTTCTCATTATCGCTATTGTTTTCACCCCTACTTCCTCACAGTGCCTTTTGTGGGGAGGTGCACACCCATCTCTCTTAGTCTCTCGTATGTCAGGTGACCGTTTTTTCGACCAATGGTTCCTGATCGGGCATTTCTTTCTCTTCTTTTCTGCAGATCACGTGACCGTTTCCGACCAATTGTTATTGATCGAGCATCCTTTCTCCTCCGTTCGGGCGTGGTTACATCGTTCTTGTTTTAAAAAAAACAAAATCTAAGTTGGCCTTTTTCGCACGTACGAAAAATGATAATCTTGGCTTTTTCTCACCTGGGTTTTGTCAACACAGCCTGCCGCTAATTAGTTGTGACTTCAGGAAAGAATATTGTCGCCATCTGTGATCTGAGGCAATCGTTTTTTTTTTCACCTCTTGTTTTTGTCAGTCCCGACAGTCAGAAAATCTTAATTTATCTGAATTGAAAACATCTTTCACTCGTCAATGTGGGGTTCTAATTTTTTAACAGGTCAGAATCTGTATACCGTTCCACCGGTCACTCCCTCAACCCAAAAAGACACTTTTTTCTG